TTTGAGTACATGCTAAGAAACTTAGTTACTCCCATTACTCCCATTTCAGGATCAGGTCAACCTCCACTAACTCAAGCAGAGTGGTCAGGAAGCAATTTCTGATGCCCTCCTAGAAGGTAATAATTTTCTAGTTGAGGGAGAAAAAAAAAACCAGAAACTGCAACGTGTAGAAACACTGTTTACTAGCTCACCTGCTCAGAACAAAGACTGAAATCACAACTGTCACCTGGACCAGTGATTCTGCTTTGGGGAAAAAAAAAAATATCATTGGCCAAACGCAGAGGTTGTTTGAAATGTGCTGTCTCAATTCCTGAAGGACTGAAGACAAAAAGACAAAATACTGCAGGAAAATGCGTACAAATCCACCTCTAACTTACAGCTCTATGACTGGTACAGTCTACAGCAAAGTCTCTTGTTTATAGTTTCTGCAGTAAACAGCCCAGCACCAGCCTGGCTGTACTATGAACCTGGCAGGCAAGGGCAGAAAACAGAAACCACAATGAATTGTGCTGACATAACATGTGTCTTCTCCTTCTGGAGAGACTTTACAGAGTAAGTGCAATGTCTACCCAACTTTACAGAGGATTAAACAAAAATGCAGAGAGGTTAGATTGCTTCTTCAAAATCAGAACAGTAGCAATACTAAGATGAAAGAATGAAAACCTCACCACACTAAGCTAACAAAGAATAGCAGAGTTCTTCAACTGAGCTGAGATTTCACTCTTCCAACTGAACCTCTTGCTTTGAAAGTTGGAGCACATTGTCTTATCCTGGATTGAACCTAAATGTGAAAGGCAGAATTGTAACTAAACAGGCATTTTGTCTCAAAAATTTTTGTGTTTAAGAGAGTCAGTGTTGGACTCCTGAAACATAACAATCCACAACATTTACCATACAATGTCAGCCAGTACTGTTATTCATATTATTATGTTGTTCACATGTTTATGAAAAGACAGAGGTAACCAGCTGTCTTCATGACAACAAGCAGAAACAAAAAGTAGTTGGTGAGGAGTAATAATTTCCCCAGTATTCAAGAAACTCAAATTGAGAAGTAGTACTGCAAGTTTCTTTCATCCACACATGGATTTTCAAAAAAAAAAAAAATCTGTTAATATTCTTCTAATTAAAAACCACTGCCCCCAAAGTCTTTCACCGTGTGTTTGGCAACATTTAAAAATTCAAAACTCCTTTATGTTAAAGTAACATCTGTCTCTGCACTCCTTTTGATACTGCAATCTCCACATAAGAGAAAAAAAAGAGGGAAAGGCAATAAAAACCCTCACAAATTCCCTGAAAAAAAAACCTGGAAGACCAAAGAAAAGAAGGAGAAACCTAGAGGAAGAATGGTGTTAAGGATTTTAAATCTTAAATGAGACAGAAGGTCTCAGCTTCAGAACTTGCAGCATCTCCCAAATACCAAAGAAACAGGAAAGAATTTAGCAGAAAAAAAGCAGCAATCATTTCTGTTTTCTCCTTCCAACTTAAAAGTCTTTCTCCGCCTCAAACTTTTTTGTAGCATGATTTACTGACGTTAGACCTAGGAATAGCCATGGATGTGTTCACTGCACATTAATTCTTTGTCTGAATAACAGAAGATGAGAAGGTGTTAGGCTATACCTCCACAACTTCACAGGTAAGGTGAGAATACTAGCAACACTAAAGAGACAAGTGGTAATGCAGAGAAAAAAAAATTATTATACATAAACATACTGTGCACAAACATAAATATTTCATATTTTTCTATGTAGAGTTTAAGACAATGGTTAGAGTCAAGAAGACTCTGAATGATAAAGGTTTTGGCTAAACTCTTCTTCTGACAATGCTTAAAATCCATTAAGACATATGACTGTGTACAGTACACTGCTGAATTTAGGCAGGAACTCTTCTGAAAGAATATTCTGACACTCTTTCAAAGAAAAAAAAAACCTTGCTATTCAGAAAACAAGGATCTGCAGAAAGAAAAAGAACATGGAAGATTTATCTCCATTGTGACCCAAAACTAGGGACTAGAGGATCAGGAAATTACTGCTTTGTAGTGATTCTTATACAACGTATTTAGTTACAAAACTGAGCAATCTCAAGGTAATACTGCTGGTTACAGAAGCGGTTACATACTTCTATAAAATAGACAATGATAATCTTGTTTGTAAGTAAATCCAGAACTCAGTTCTAGATTTCTTACCTGACCTAATCTGACACTGCCTGGAATATTAAAGAAGAAAGATGTTGGTTTTCAAATAGTAAAGGGGAAAAGTTTATCATTTGCCCACAAAAGCTTTCCAGAAGCCAAAAGGCAGAATGCTTTTAAAGGTGCTTTAGCAGGAAAATACTTTCTGCAGGCAACTCACAATGTATCTAACATCCAAATCCTGAGCAGAATGTTATTTATTTATACTATATGGAGAGTGAAAACTAGTCAGTTCTAGCTGTCCTTAGAAAGGCTGTACAGAAGGACATATTGTGACTTTAAATGAGATGAAAAGGCAAGAGGGAAAACAGAGTTCACTGTTCCTTTCCTGCACTTCAGCCATCTTTCTCCCGTTTTTGGCTTACAGTGAACATGCTTCAGTCTATTTCAGCAAATTAGAATTTTCTTAAATCAGCAAAAATGCTAAAGTAATAATGTATAAAGAAACACTGAGTAGTTTTCTATAAGATAAATGCATTATTTAAATTAAAGTTCTATATGAAAAACAGGGCATTTAAGTTTGAGGGGCTCTTTTACAACATTCTATTGTAATTAGACAATATTTTGTTGTATTTGTTATGAAACTTATTTTATTTGTTTCAACATTTAGTACAGCTTAATTCTAAATAATCTATTTTACTGGCCTTGATCATTCAGAATGGACATTAGGCCATGAAAATATATTTGAAATTGGTTGCACATTCCAAAGTAAAAACTTGAATTGAAAAAATTTCCAAGCCTACTCATCTGTAATGTACTTCTTCCTTGGCAAATGTCTACTGGTTGGGGACATAATAATATGTATACTGGGAAAAGTTACTAGTTATACTGGGCACCTAAAAAAATTAAAGTCAAAAAGCAAAATGGCAATTTTAATACCCTTTTAAAACATAGTACTGTAGTGTTGTTTTTCTCTCCAGCTGAGTGTGTTTTCCTCATTCCAACTACACACAGAGTGAATTAAAAGGCAAAATATTCCATAAGACTGTCAAAATTGGCAGACACCACATCCATGCCACAAAATACAACACTGAAACAGGGGGAGCAGTTTAGGCAAACACACACTTATCTAGGAATTTGAAGGAAGACTTCTCTTAAGGCTGTTGCATTACCAAAACTGCTTGATGAGCAACTCTGGCAGCTCTTAAAGACAAGATAAGCAGCACTCAGGTTCCACCTGGACATCAGATGCACATTAAAAAAAGGTGGGATTTTACAGTCTCTCTTGCTCTGGGAGCCAAGGAGCCAGCTCAGAAACTGACTGCAGCACAGCACTGAGAACAGCACCCTTTCTGATCTAGTTTTTCAGTCCAAGAAGGAAGGTAAGGGGTTATGGGGAATGAAATCTTCTCAGTTCTTGGACAGAGGCCATTCAGTTCTCTGTTTGTCTACCTAATGAGATGCCCTGCCAGCTGCAAAAGGCCTGGAACCAGCCAGTTACTGAAAAAGTCATACATATGTCTTTCAATGTCTGTGTTCATCATAAAAAGAAGGGGCTTGCTATGCTGCCCACAGAGTAAACTGCAAACTCACAGCTGAGAGCAGAATTAAGATGAGGGCATAAATAAATACAGAAATCAAAACTATGAGAGCATGGAGGAGGAATAAAAAAAAAGAACATGAAGAATTGCACATATGTAATAATAGTACACAGCCACGTCAACACCACAGCTTGACTTTGCCCAAAGAGCAATATGGTAATTATGACCTAATTCCATCTTTTTATACGCACTCCTGAGCTGGAAAACTACTGAATGCTATAATATAAGCTAAAGCAGTCCCAATAACCAATCTAGAACACCAATAATCAGTTTCTAAGGTCCCCTGTGCCTCAATTTCCGTGGCCTGTCTCCTGTTTAAGGGTGAATAGAGTTTTCTGTGGCAATGCAGATCCCAAGTCTACCATAAATCATCTTTTAGTTACTTCAGAGTTGTGAAGGGGATGGGTTTGTGAGGCCTGAATTATGAACATTTAGTTATATTCACAATGTTTCATAAACAGAAATATTTCAAGCAAGCTCACTAGCAGCCTCCACCCTTTAGTAATAACTCCTGGAACCCTCAAGCCTCTTACATGTTACTCTGCTGCAACAAAATTAATCCCTGAGATGCCAAATAAACAGTGCCTCTACAGCATCCCATTGCATGGCAGTACCCGAGAGGAGCAAAAGGATTCATCTGACTTCATTTGTGCATTAGCACAGACCTTTAATTTTCTGTGTCTCTTCACTAAAAAAAAAAATGTGAGGAAGAAAGGGAAAGGCAAAAGTGCATTAGCAGTATTTGCCAGTAAAATTTGCAAACCATCTAACCAAGGCAGTTAGGACTTGATCCAAAGCCCACAGACGTCAGTGGGCTGGGAATCAGATCCTTATTCAGCTTTTGGATCTAATTTATCTTTAAAATGACAACTTTATATTTAGGCTGTAGTCTCCATATATATCTTCCTTGCCTGAAAGCTCCATCCAGTCAGGTTTTGAATACCTCCAAAGACAGATTCCACAGCCTCTCTGGGCCTCTGTGTTGCTGTTTGGCCATCTTCATGATGACAAAAAAATGTTCAAGTACCTTAGAAGTATGGAACTGTGCCGCCTTTTTTTTTTCCATTGTTGTGGAATCACATTTAAGCTGTCACATTTGATAACACTCATTAAAAAAAAAGGCAACAGAAGCAGAGTCATATATTGAAAATAATCAAGAATGGAATACACAAAAGTAACTTCAGTTTGGCTGTGTCAAAACAGACAGTGCTGAAACCTGTTGATTTTTACACAAATGTGTTCAGACAGCAGCTTGCCGAGAAACTCCTCACCTGATCTCGAGAATATGGAGTATCCACTATGCGTTTGTCCGAACATGCTGCCAGAAGAATCTTCATTGCATTTAACTGGAGCAATATTTCACAAGCCATGGTATCAAAGAAAGTAATATTGGCAAGAGCTGCTGAAGCCAGCAAGAAAACTTCACCTGACGAAGCTTCTTGGCACAGTTCTAGGGATGCAGAAAATAAGTTGAATAAAAGTCATTCTTTCATTGCAGTATTTCAAAGCAATATTTAAGCATCTGCAATTTGCAGTAGTAATCTCAGTAGCCAAGATCAAGTTCATATAAACATCAAGATAAAAAAGGAAGCAAAACAAAACAAAACAAAACTTCATTTTTTTTTTAAATTATATAATATCATAGAACTGTTTAGGGTGGAAAAGGCCTCTGAGATCATCAACACTATAAACCCAGCACTGCCAAGCTCACCACTTAACCATGTCCCCAAGTGCCACATCTACACGTCTTTTAAATACCTCCAGGGATGGCAACTCAACCACTTCCCTGAGCAGCCTGTTCCAACTCTTAACAACTGTTTCCACTACGTAATTTTTTCTAATACCCAAACTAAACCTCCCCTAGCACAGCTTGAGGCCATTTCCTTTTGATCTATCACTTATTATTTGGAAGAAGAGACCAACAACCACCTTGCTACAACCTCTAATGAATGATATGGTCTACCTAGTATACCATTCTACAGGGAATATTTCACTGGGTGTTGTTCAAAACAGTACAACTAAATAAAATTAATAACGGGAGGCAAAAGCCTAACAGTAAATGATCCATAAGAGAATAATTCTGTTGCATATCCTTTGCTTTAGAACAAGGTACATATAGATGTTGCCTATCACTATTTCTCTATAACCAAAAATCATTCTGTTATATTTTTCAGCTTCAATAAGTGCTGAGGAAACAGCTACCTTTTAATTCCTTGCACACATGTACTTTAACTAAGAAGTGAATCACCTAGTAATGGGATTTCTTCATGGTTTAAAAATTAAACATATTACAGTAATTCAATTACTGAGTTATAAATATTACAAGGAAACTGGTGTGTGATTACTGAAATGGCTCTTGCAAAGTTATACATGTTCTATTTTTAATGCTCACATTTCTTGGGCAGAATATATACTACTAAAATTCCTGTAGAACTTAAACAGCGAGGAAATGATCCACCAGCTAATACCTTCTAGACAGGTTGTTTAGATTGTCCCTTGTTTGTGGTACACTATAACAACCTAGAAAATCGTCTTAAATAAATCAGGTCAGATCCCTCTAGCAGTATAGCTACAGCAGAACCAAGCTCAGCACAGGTTAATTCCACCCACTGGATTCAGGGCAGGTTTAGGGCACAAGTTTGCTGCTGGACATCAGGAATAAATTGTTTCCTTGGCTTCTACAGCACTAGTTCTGTTTGGACCTACTGAGGAATGCCTAAATACATCTCAGACAATTCCCAGCCACTGCAGAATCCTCAAATACTGGTACTACTATACTCTTTTTATGTTCTATTAAAAAGCAAACACAAGACCATTCATTAAAATTGAAGTCCTGCAGTTTAACTGTAACCACTGGGCTCAGTGGAAAAATATCCAAATGTACTGATCTATTATACATGAGAAATCAAACTAGATGACCCAAACTGTACGTTCTGACATGGAGCTCTGGGAAACTGAATTTCCAGATCAGAGAGAAGAGAATGCTTGAATGAAAGCTTCTGGTATTTGAGAGGGATGAAATAGAGTGCCAGAAATAAAATATTCCTCTCTTTAGAAAATAATGAGAAATATCATCTTGTTTTTCCGAAGTGTCTTCACTGACCCAGGTTAAAGAAAATCTTACTGTTACCTTTGTCTCATTTTACCATGAATCAGAGGCCTAGACAAGAAAGACAGATCTTTTATTTTCTTGTAACAATGCCCATAGATTATACAACAATCTACTTTTTCTCTGAATTATCACACAAGTATAGATGTGCTGGTGAGTTTGAGCTCTAGCAAGTGTAGAAAATACAACAGGTATAAATGTTAGCAGCTCTCAGAAACTGTTGTTTTACAGATAAACATCGGACAAGAGGATGCTTTGCTGAGTCTTTCCTATGGCTCTCATGGCAGATTTTCATACAGATATTGTTTTTACAAATATGCATAAATTCTATTCAAATGGGGGCTGGAGTAAAAAACATTATGTAATTGCAGAATGCTCAGATTCAAAATTTTAAATTGTTCTTTTATCTGTTAAGGGAAGTATGGTAAACATTATTTAGGGAATATTTCTATTGAAAGAGTCCTACCCCAACCTGTTATTTTAACTGGACCCAAAAGTCCCACAGAGAACTTACTGACAAGCGCAGTCACAATTTCTTCCATATTTTCCAGAAAGCTGCTGAGATGCTGAGTGAATGTGAGATGTGGAGATGTGATCTGTGCAATTACTGCTGCTGCTTCAGCATGAGTAGCTTCAGAATGGCTGTTATCAGTGAGAATGTCAGCCAGGCACAGTATCCCATCAACCTATGGAAAAACAATAGAGATAGGTTAGAAGTACTCTAGGAAATACTTTTGCAATTAAAGATGGGTTACCAGTTCTCTTTTCTTGGCTGTGACTAAACTACTCAGCTTATTTTCAAAAATAACCAAAACTTGGTGGCATTTATGACATAAAAAGTTTCAGTTTATCAAATACAAATGAGTTCAGCACCCAAGTTTGTTGGCCAGCAAAGAGGCTTGCATTTCCTTCTCCTTTAATGTTTCTGTTAAATCAATTTTGGTCAAACAAAGTTTTTTTCAGACAGACATCTCAAGTTAAACATTCATCAAAAAATAAGCTAGCTCTGATAAGCAAATGCTTACTGCTACTACACCACAACCTCATTTGAGCTCTTGTCCGAATGTGTGTTTCCCTTCAAGACTTGAGCCTGTGCATACAGTAAGCTCTATACAGAATTCTTTTTTGCCACTTTTCTCTGAATTTGTCACAAAGCCAACACATGATCAAGAAAAATACTATTAAGACAACCCTGGCCAAACTGTCCCTGATGAGCTTGCACAGCACTTACATTAAAGCTAGGTCCACATATTCCTTCCTTATTTTGACGGGAAACAGAAAAATGAGTGAAATTATGTAGGTTTGTGTTTATAGAGTGTTTGGAGTGTTCTTACACAGTTCAAGCAGATAGCTCATATGTGTACACCTTGCTTTAGATTATAGGGGACCCACTGACACAATGCACAGCTGATGGGATCATCTGATGGCAACAAAATGCAGCAAGGGAATGTTCTCTGCAGACAAGGGCACGATCTGTGAACTTTCAAATTAGCAGCACTATGTTTCTCCCTGTTTAACATATCCCTGAATAAATTATCATGTTGACAAGCAAGCAGTTAGATCATAGAGTCATAGAATCATTTAGATCATCAAGTTCAACCTTTGACTGAACACCACCCTGTCAACTAGACCACGCACTAAGTGCTACATCCAGTCATCTCTTGAACACTTCCACGTATGGTGACTCCACCACTTCCCTGGGCTGTCCATTCCAATACTTGACAACCCTTCCCAGGAAGAAATTCTTCCTGATGTCCAACCTGAACCTTCCCTGGCACAACTTGAGGCCATTTCCTCTTGTCCCCTCACTAATTGCCTGTGAGAAAAGGCCAACTCCACCTTGTTACAGCCTCCTTTCAGGTAGTTGTAAAGAGTGATAAGGTCTGCTCTGAGCCTCCTTTACTCCAGACTCTGGACATTTTGTAGATACAAAGAGGAGTTATGAAGACTTAGTACTGAAATATACTTCAGACAGTCAAACAAAAACAAACCCGCATTTGTGTCATACCCTCACTGAGACTCTTTCTTAGGTCTATTGTTCAGACTGCATTCTGTGCCAATTCCTCTGAACATCCATAGTAAGTCCTATCCATTATCTTCAGAAAGGGTATTTAGTAAATATCTTATTCTCATTTCTGTTATTTATTAATGCAGAATGTTGAGTTATCTTAATTACTTATCCTGCAATGGGCATGAATTAAATTATTTGATAAGCACTGACAGTTACTCTATTTTACAAGAAAAGCTCTCAGATTGATGGGAACAAAAATTACCCTCTGGAAGATTATTCATTGGGATGCACTTTTTAATAGGCAATAGACTGTATCATTGAAATTCTAATTACACAGATAAACACAAAAGAAATTTTATCTCTATTTTTCCTCAGATCACAAATGGGATTTAGTGTAGAAGCTCAAGTACTGGCAAAAAGAGGAATAAATTTACAACATTAAACTTTTCCTTGACAAGCTTTCAACATTAATCTACCTACAGCAAAATATTTCCTCCTAGTTATGGCAGAATTCTACAGCTTGAAACAGAAGATTCACATAAATCACTTGGCTTCAAGGTATATTAATAGATCTCAGTGTCAAGAATTAATATATGTCCTCACAGTATGATTTAGTTCCCAAAGTGTGCTAGACAATATCACATGCAACTCCCCCCCCCAGTTTTGTCACCTTGAAACCTCCCAAGATTGCACCTTGTCTGAGGTTCGAAGGATACTAATAGCAACAGTCAGTACAAAAAGTTAAACATATTCCAAGGCATTCAAAAAATATTTCACAAGAAACTTCTTTTGAGATCTGGTCAGCACTCTTCAGCTCTAAATTTACTGGTTAAAATTCACTTGGCTAACTCTTATTCAGTGACCTCAACAAAATGACTTCAGAGTATTTTTATGCTATTTGAGAACAAGTAATGACAGGAAAGACAGGTACAAGCACATGGTTAGATTTTGCCATCACCACTGATTGTTTAATCTACACTGTAAAATACAAGCTTCTAACAATAAGGGGCGGTACTCAACTTTTAAATCACATATTTGGTTTCTTTATTTGCTAAGTAATTGGTTTTGGAAATTGGGAGTTGCTGAATTGTGAAAAAGAAGTGGGTATGCTTTTATTCAGCACTAAGATAAATCACATATTTTGGATCCATGAAAGCCAGCACTAGTTATTCTCCTTCCTATTCAGAATCATATAAAAAAATAACAAATTCAGCCTAAAATTTACTCCATACCCTTTTTTCCTCCCATCTTAAATATAGAAAATAAAATAATTCTACTTCAGCAGGCAACCCCATTTATAAGTGCCTAGCAATAAATTTTAAAATGACAGGGGAACAATCTAATAAAAGCACTTTAACATCCAAAAAGAAATTGCTGCTCAAAGCATTTTTATAATTAGCTTTCACACTGAAAGGAACTTTGGATCGCTGCCATGTTTTCTGTTTAATTTTGGTGAAGTAATCAGCTAAATGTCAAATCTGTTCATCACCTTGGCAATACAAAAGAACCAGTTAGCCAGATAATGCAAACAAATGAAATCCATGAATGCAACAAGATGCTGTGGAGACCCTGCATTTGAGGAATGGTGTTCAGTAAATGCTTGATCACTAATATTTCAATACTGATAAGTGGAAAAATGCCAGGAACTTATATCCTTATGAGCACAGCCCTGTTATAGAAACTTAATCCAACTGAAAAAAATAAATGTGTGACCATGTTACTGCATAGATCAAGTCTTCTGAAAGGAGATAATTTCTTTTCTCTGCAACAGGAATGAATGAGTTCCGGGGCAACACTCTTCTTTCTTCAGTATACCTGTCCTTTCTCCTGAAAATATTGAATAGAACTAGGTATCTGTTAAAGATACCAATACAGAACTTGGGATGAACTGCATTAACTTCATAATTTGAAATATTGCACACAACAGCAATCTTAACTCTTTGCTTTCCACAAGGAGGTTCCAGGCAGGCTTTCCACGTCACTCTGGGAACCAAGACCCAGTGTCTTCTTTTTAATAATGTCTGTGCTCTTCTGTATAAAATGCTGCCAAAGGTCTTTTCTCTTTATATGACTTTCTCTACCATTCCAGTTTGCCTACTTAGCATACAGATGATCTCTACATAATGATAAACTTCCTCAATTTATTTTTTTCTTGCCTTCTCTAAATTGATCTCTCAAGTCATCTTCTCAGATTGGAATGTCTTACAGGCCATCAGCTGACTTCCCACTGTCAAATCCCTGGATAACTCTGTCAACCTCCAACCAGGTGCTTCTGGAAAGCAGCATCAGCAGTTTCCAAAGCAGATCATCACATGAACCACGAAGTCACTTCACTATTCTGCAACTCCATTGAAAATATCATCCAGCTGAACACATATACTGCTATTTTGATGACTTGTAATTGAATTCCTGATTATCAAGGCTAAGGTTTATCCCATGTGAACTTCTGCAACTTATTCTGCATCTATAGAAGATCTACAAGTCTTGTTTAATTTCCGCATTCAGAGAAAGGAAGGGAAAAGGACCTCACCCATAATGATCTTTCATGTTTGAACAGCTGCACTGCCAAGTGCTCTGCAGATAAAAACCGCCTTAGTTCCACTGAGAACTGTGCTGATTTATACCAAATGAAAATTTGGTCAGCTGTTTTGAAAATGAGATTCTAAGTTAACAAAGTGATGCCATGAAAATGTCCACAAATATGATTCCAAGCAATCAAAACTACTGCAGCAATTCCATGGCAGCAGCAGTGACCAGTGAACAAAACTGCAATGATTTTACAACTGCTGCTGTACAAGAATGGCCATGGCACCTAATTTACAAGCCATATTGTATACACCACAGAATAATGTGGGGTGTGAACAGAGGTTGGATGGTTCCCAACTCAGGAGCTTTAAAAGTTCTGTCAATAACAGCTTTGTATCTAAACTGGTTGTGAGTTGTGCTTCGGTTCACAGCAACTTCAACTATGGTTTCCCTTTTAAACTTCCCTCCTTCAGAAAGTGGTCAAGCTAATGAAGATGTATTTGTTCTTCTTTACATTTAGCCATCAAGGAGGAATGTGAAGCTGATGTTCATTATATGAGGAATACTGTTATATGGCATAAAAAAAAGAGACAGTTGGCCTTATCAGCTTGAAGAATGCATGTAAGTAGCAACCTTGAAATCGTGTTGCATGGAGAAACAAACTGCAGAGCAAGATGAAATGAGAAGCTCCTTACTCTTGGCTGACTAGGAGTGAAAGGATAAATTGTATGCAAACCTTTTCTCCCCATGTAACCTAGGGAAAGCAGTGATGTACCTTAGAATGCATGTTCTTTGGCGCTCATGGATGCTCTAAGCTTATTGCAGGTGAAAAGTACAACTGTTTGTTAAAGAAGTACTAGAGAATAAGTCATTGTATAGAAAGGATGGACAAAATCAGTAAGACTTCTCTCTTGTCTTTACTTCAAGGAAAAGAGAATAGTTGGCTTTGAACTCCCCCAATTTTGAGGACTGATATAAAGGGTAAAGACAGTTTTTTAAAGTATTTCTGTCATTGATAAAAGAAAGCAGGAACTGCACTGCTATTAGCCTAGCAACTCATATATTCCCACTCCCATAAATCTCAGCTTACATCGTTTCAAACTCCTCTCTACAAACATAGGTGAACCACCCAAAGATACATTCAGCTTT